AACTCTCAGGTTCTCCCCCATTAGTCAATAACACATACTCATCAATTGAATAACATGTGGAAGAACCTCGATTTCTGGTAGATCTTCTAAGTGAAACCTCTGTAGGAACTTCTGCATGAACTTTTGTTTCTACCGACTGTTCATGAACATCATCATCTACCTCAACCTGTTCTGGACTCTCTACTGTACTATCAAACTGATCATTCTGAACCTCATTCTCAATTTGCATAGAAGGTTGTGTCAAAGGAACTGAATCCAAGTCAATCAAATCATCACTGTGCTGAAACTCTGTTTTATCTGTCTTCTCAATATCTTCTATGGTTTGGCCTTCAACAAATACAACATCTCGACTTCTTATGAGCTTTTTCTGTACTGGATCATAAAGTTTATAACCGAACTCATCTTAGCTATAGCCAAGGAACACACATGGTCTTGTCTTTGCATTAAACTTCGATCTCTCATCTTTAGGAACATGTACGAAAGCTTTACACCCAAAGACCATGTGTTCTATTCATTCTCTCAGCTAGCCCATTCAACTGAGGAGTCTTCGAAGTTGTCTTTTGATGTCAAATACCATGACTTCTGCAATAGTCATCAAAAGGTCCACAATACTCGCCTCCATTATCGGTCCTGATGCACTTCAACTTCTTACCAGTTTCTCTTTCAACAATGGCATGAAACTGTTTAAACACTTGCAACACTTGATCTTTCGTCTTCAACATATAGACCCAAGTTTTCCTCGAATGATCATCTATAAATGTCATAAAATATGAGGAACCTCAAAGTGTTTTTGTCTTTGTAGGACCGTATACATCAGAATATACTAAGTCAAAGTATATTTGGTTTCCTCGAGTGTTGAGACGCCTTAAAGGAAACTCTAGTTTGTTTCCCAGCTAAGCAATGAGCACATCTTTTCAGAGTTGCATTCTTTATACCAGAAAGATGATTTTTCTTGGCTAAAATCATCAATCCCTTCTCACTAATGTGACTGAGTCTCTTATGCCATAATTTAATACTCTTTTCCTCATCTACTGTATTTATTGCAGAATCAATAACCATTGCTTGCATCAAATACAGTGAGGAACACTTCTCCCCCTTAGCTACAATCATTGAGCCTCTAATAAGCTTCCATTTGCCATTGTAGAAGGTATTGCATAAACCTTCGTCATCAAGCTTACCTGTGGAAATTAAATTCATGCGAATATAAGGGATATGTTTCACATTCTTAAAAACCAGCATAGTACCATTCTTGGTCTCCAAGTGCACATCACCAATACTAATGGCTTTTGTTGATCTATCATTACCCATCCTAACACAGCCGAAATCACCAGATGTGTAGGATGTAAAGAAATCCCTCCTAGATATAGCATGAATTGACGCGCCACTATCAATCACCTAATTGCTCTGTTGTGTAGCTAGATTAATAACATCACCATCAAATAAGATAAGGAAATTCTCAATAGCTGCAACAACTCTATCTGCATCATTACCATCATCATTTTTTTTCCCTTACCTTTATCATTTTTATTTTCTCTCTTCAGTTGTCGACAATACTTCTTTATATGGCCTTTTATGTCACAATGATAACACTCAACATTGAATAACCGGCCGCTCTTACTTTTGCTTCTGTCTCTACCCTTCGGACCTTTACTCTTACTCCTCCCCCTTCTTTCAGTAACAAGAACCTCTGACTGTGATGAAGAGCCATGTGACTTTCTTCTCATCTCTTCATTTAAAACACTGATTTTCATCATGTCCATACTTATTACTCCATTTGGGGCCGAGTTCGATAACGAAGTTCTGAAAGTCTCCCACGAGTCTGGCAATGTACCAAGAAGCCATAACCCTTGTATCTCATCTTCAAACTTGATTTTCATTCCAGCAAGCAGATTAATGTTACCTTGGAATGTATTCAAGTGATCTGACATAGGTGTTCCATCTTGATTCTTCAAAGCCATCATTTGCTTTATCAGAAAAAATTTATTATTGCCAGTTTTCAGGGCCTATAACGACTCAAGCTTATTCCACATAGTCCGTGCATGTGTTTCTTCTCCAATATAATTTAGAATATTTTCTTCTACCCAATGTCTAATAAAGCCACAAACTTTTCTATGACATATTTCTCATTCTAAATCAGTTTTATCTTCAGGCTTCTCAAGTGAAAAATAGGAATATAAAAATCATTCACATATAAAACATCTTCCATCTTCCTTTTCTAAACTTGTTAATTTGAGCCATTCAAGGTCACCATTCTACTTGTACCAGTTTCCATTGTTCAACACAAGGCCTAATTAATTTTTTAACCTTGCTCTGATACCACTTTGTTGAGATAAATACTTAAATTTATGGACCAATTATCCCCTATTGTGTGCACCTAATAGGAAAACACAAGTAAAAATAATAATTCAAACCAGCACAGGATACCAGCAATTTTAACGTGGAAAAACCCCCTCAATGTGAGGACTAAAAAACCACGGAGCGAAGTTAAAATCTCCACTATAATCTATAATTGGTACACCAAGTTCTCCGTAGCAATAACTAGAGGCATATAGTAATAATATCTCGAGACAATAAATCTCGGCAAACAAAGGGAGTAAACCGGGGAAGAAAATTAGAAAGATCTCATTTAGAAAGTGGCACTAACTACCCATTGTATCTTACTGTAGGCAGCTCCAAAAGAAATCTCCACCATCCAAATTGAAGACCCTCGTGTTACGAACACGCTATCAAAATTTCACCTCGATTAGACCACGGATCGATCTCCGATCGTGCAAAAAACGTTACTATACCGAATGAATTTCTTTTCCCTTTTTCTTTTCTATTTTCTCTCCTCGATCTGCGTGCAGTTTTTTCCTCTCTCTCTCCTTAACGTGGTTGGTGGCTGCTAGGTTAATATATGTATATAATTCTAAATATAATGACCCATTTGGGTCTAAAATTGTTGGGCTTTCACACATGTAAAAAATACCTAACACTTAAGTCTACTCCATATTTCATCCATTAACCAAATAAAATACAACTCTAAAAACTTTCAAAGCTTTATTTATTGTAATTTTGGGTAAAAATCCCTTCTTAACTTTGTTCTTTCGTACTATTTAATTATATTATATTTGAGTTGTGTAATACCTTTCGAAAAATGCATTTTATTATTACCTTCATTTTAGTGTCAAGAAATGATTTTATAATTCGTTTTTTATTTCAAATTTCCAATTCAACTTGTTATTTTCTAATAACATGTAATTTCGTCATTAATTAAAAAATACTAACGTGACAATTTGTGATTGTTGAAAATATAATACTTGTAAAACGAGTGAGTGAAATTTTCAAGGATAGAAACGTGATTATTTCATAAACATATATGTACACTCCTAATTTACTTTTAAATTGTAAGAAATTTACCTTTACGTTTAAGATTTCAGTGCAATTTATATAAATAGCTGGAAAGCGTCGATCCCAGCCTGGGATTGCATATCCAGAGCGGGATGGTATTAAATTATACTATCTCGGGTCGGGATTGTTCTATCCGACTGCAATCCCGACTCAAGATACACACTCTCCAGCCCCTTTTTTTTCTTCTTCCTTCCTCATTCCTCATAAAATTAAAATTAGTCATAATCCCTCTTAAAAATTTAGAGAGATGATTTTGAGGAACCATGAGATGGATTTTGATTAAAAAAAAAAAAGTTGGGAATTTGGTGGATATGTTTGATATGTATTTTTTTAATGGGCCATGGAAAAACAATTTATGGGTCTTATTTTTTTTCTTCAGTTAAAATATATGAAAACCTTAAGAATTTTTTAAGGAGGAGAACATTTTTTGTGGATTCGGTTGTTGGTTGTCAATTGCTAATTGATTCTTAAATTAAAATGTTGATATTTTTTCTATATTAGATTCAAATTAAAAATAAATTGTGAGGTTATGGGGAGAGATTGGTGAACAATTTTACTTTAAAAAAATATGGATATTTTGGTACTTTTACCAATACAAAAAGTGGAAAATGGTTAGAAATTAGAATGGAAAGGGTCAAGATTATGTTTTTTCAAAACGGGGTCATAAATCCAAAATCAATTATTGAAGAGTCATCAACCCCAATTTACCTATTTCTTTATGGACAAGAAAGAAAAAGAGAACCAATATTAACCAATCTTAATAATACCGTGTAGTCCCAAACATTTTAGGATTTTTTATTTTGTTCCAAAGTCTTTTAAAATTGTCAGAGCGAGCATAGCTCAAAGGTAATTGACATATACCTCCAACAATGAGGTTGCGAATTCGAATCCCTTCCCCAAGTTGTACTAAAAAAAAAAAACTTTTAAAATTCTTAATTTCAACATTATTGTGTATCAAAAAATCTCATTTAGGTCGTTCACTAAAAAAAATGGCTAAATTTTGTATACAAAAAGTTCATCTATCATCAAATTATTATTTTATTAATATATTTGGAAACATTAATGTACCACTCTGGATAAGATTCGAACGCATGAGATCTGATCTACCTATTAACACAAATTGTGGACCCACTCAAAAAAAATTATAATTTAGAGATAACACAAATATATAATTTTAGCATCAGTCTATATTTTTGTAGTATGCTCTTTTTTTTAGTACAAGATGTGGAGGTGGAGGATCGAATTTGCAACCTTTTGATGGAGATATATATGCCAATTATAGATAAGTTATGCTCGCTTTGACTGTCAAAGTCACTTTCATTTAAAATATTAATGTGGTTTAGAATGATATACATGTTTTACAAGTAGAGCTTTCTTAATGTTGTTTCACGTTGACTTATACGTAATTAGTGATTGATTAATGAAAAAGAAAAATTTGAAAAAAAAAATTTATTGTACTACTTTAATCATTTAAAACCTACATGTATCTAATTTTATAAAACAACCTACCAAAAGTAATTCTTAACCTTCCATATATTTTCTTCTTTCCAAAAACACTAAGAAGTCGATATAAATTATTTTAAGGTACACTCTTTCACTATAAATTATAGTCTAATTAACATGAAAAAACCATCACAAAAACTTTCAAATCAAATAACACTCACCCACTGGATATTAGATATGGAGAAGTCGTCTACTAAGTTGGCTTGCCTGCTTGTCATGCTCTTCATTACGTCGGGTATAAATTAATTTTAATTTCTTCTATCCTATAAATATTTTTCGTTTGCTCTTTTATTATGTTTACTTGAATGATATTTATCAACGAATATATCACAGGATGTGTGTTCGTGTCGGATGCAAGAAATGTTGTAAGTACTCGATGCAATACTCCAAATGATTGTTTTGATCCAACCAAATGTGAATGCAATCTGACCCTGTGCTTTTGTCACCAAGCATCGGAAATGAATGTTTTTGACAAAATCTTCCGTGAACATTCGGGAGACCAAAAGACAATTTCATAAATACTAGATCGCCAGAAAGATTGTCTCCCTACCATTTCGATCAACGTTATATCATGAAATTGAAAGAAACGTACTTTCCTGCTTTAGACAAATAATATATTGTATGAGCTTATTCTCCTATGTAAAAGCTCTTACATTTAACTTTTATGTTCTTTGCAAAAGTCTAAATTAATGTTATGCAAATCTGCTATTAATATCTTCCAAAAATATAGGGGTGTGTTCTACTCAAATTGAGCATAATTGAACTGATTAAAATATATAACCTCGATTAAGAAATCGTGGATTCGAATTTTCTTTCTCATATTGTACTAAGAAAAAATCAATATATAAAGAACTTCCACGACACCATACATGAATTTATTCTTCGTGTTTATGTAGTCTACTCCATATTTCGTCAATTAACCAAATAAAATGCAACTCTAAAAACTTTAAAACCTTTATTTATTGTAATTTTGGTTAAAAATACCTTTTCAACTTTTTTCTTTGCATACTATTTAATTATATTATATTTGAATATGAATTTGAGTTGTGTAATACCTTTCGGAAAATTGCATTTTATTATTACCTCTGTATTTATTTTCAATTTGAAAATTTTCCTAATTGATATATTCATTTCTATGTTGTCAATTCGAAATTTTTCTAATTTATTTATTCATTTCTATGTTTTCAATTTGAAATTTTTTCTAATTGATTTATTCATTTCAGTGTCAAGAAATGATTTTTTAATTCATTTTTTATTTCAAATTTGCAATTCAACTTTTCATTTTCTAATAACATGTAATTTCGTCATTAATTAAAAAATACAAATGTGACAATTTGTGATTGTTGAAAATATAATACTCCTAAAACGAGGGAGTGAAATTTTCAAGGATAGAAACGTGATTATCTCATAAATACACTCTTAATTTACTTTTAAATGGTAAGATTTGGTCTGATTTACCTTTACGGCTTTACGTTTAAGATTTCAGTGCAATTTATATAAATGGCTAGAAAGTGTCGATCCCAGCCTGAGATTGCATATCCAGACCGGGATGGTATTAAATTATATTATCCCGGGTCGAGATTGTTCTATCCGGCTACAATCCCGACCCAAGATACACGCTTTCCAGCCCCCTTTTTTTCTTCTTCCTTCCTCATTCCTCATAAAATTAAAATCAGTCGTCGTCCCTCTTAAAAATTTAGAGAGATGATTTTGGCGAGCCGATGAGATGGATTTTGATTAAAAAAAAAGGTTGGAAATTTGGTGGATATGTTCGACATGTATTTTTTTAATGGGTAACAGAGACAATTTATGAGTCTTATTTTATTTTTCTTCAATTAAAAAATATGAAAACCTTAAGAATTTTTTAAGAGGGGAGTATTTTAGGTGTGTTCGGTTGTTGGTTGTGAATTGGTAATTGATTCTTAAATTAAAATGTTGGTACTTTTTCCATATTATATTCAAATTAAAAATAAATTCTTAGATTAAGGTGAGAGATTGGTAGATAATTTTAATTTAAAAAAATATGGATACTTTGGTACTTTTACAAATGCAAAAAGTGAAAAATGGTTAGAAATTAGAATGGAAGGGGTCACAGATTGTGTTTTTCAAAACAGGCTCATAAATCCGAAATCAATTATTGAACGGGTCATCAATCCCAGTTTTCCGTGTTTCTTTATGGACAAGAAAGAAAAGAGATAACCAATATAAACCAATCTTAATAATACTCTGTAGTCCCAAACTTTTTAGGGCTGTTTAGTTTGTTCCAAAATCTTTTAAAATTCTTAATTTCACCATTATTGTGTACCAAAAAATCTCATTTAGGTCCTTCCCTAAAAAATGGTTAAATTTTGTATACAGAAAGTTCATCTATCATCAAATTATTATTTTATTAATATATTTGGAAACATTAATATACAACTCGGATAATATTTGACGCATGAGATCGAATCTACCTATTAACACAATTGGTCGACCCACTCATAAAAAAAATTATAATTTAGAGAAAAACACAAATATATAATTTTAGCATTAGTTTATATTATTCATACGAGATTTCCGGAGAAATTATATTTCGTGGACAAATACATTTTGTATTGATATTTGGGGATTCGTACAATTTCTAATATTTATCCTCTGATTCTTTCCCTTGAATTCTTGGTGGTTTGTTGATCTTGATCGGCCTATCGACGGCTTGTTATTGATCTTGATCGGCCTGCTGGCGGCTTGATGTTTGATAAGCCTTGATTAAAGGCTAAAAAGTGTAGGTTTGCATGCTCTGTTGTTAGTTTTTTGGGATGAAAAAGTATGTTGATGCATATAATTTAGGGAAAATGTGCATATTTTGTGATTAGGGACTTTGGAATTCAGTTTTAGGTAAATGAAGGCTAAATTTTGTAAATATGTTTATTTTTTAAGGAAAAGTGAGGATTGATGATCATAATGCGTCAGACACATCGCAGGACCAGAATGTCTAGCTTACTAGAGGAATGGGCCAGCCAAGTTACTTTTGAAAGTTCTAGCTTCACAATGCTTCAACCACATTCGATACCTAGACTGTCAAAACAGAAATAACAACTTTTAACCAAGTAATTGGTCCAAGATTTGTTATTAGTTCCTAAAATCTCTACAACTCTCACTTGGTTCCAACCTCCCATGCATTTCTCAATATCTTGTTACCTCCATGGCCAATAAAAAGAGCTTCCAAACATCACTTCAAAACATCTCATTTTCCATGTTTTTGTTCTTCGTTTCTATTTGTTATCAACTTTAGTTTTTAAGTTTTATTCTTTCAATTAACTTTTCTGCAATTACTCTTGTTTATTTTATTGCAAATCAGTTTGTTCCATTTTGTACTTCCTTTCCAACTTCAATTAAAATGCATTCTTTTGTTATTTTCTCTTGTGTTTACATTTCTTTCACTTGTATGAGTAGCTAAATTGTTTCTTCGACTCTCTTACAAATAGTTTAGTTCATCTATTTTAAATTATATCTATCAGTGAACACGACGTATTACGTTCTCTTTGCTTATCTTGATTGATACAATTTATCCAGTTAATTTTCTTGTTGGTCACTTGTTTAAATCACATTAGTTTGAATTTAATTCTGAGAAGGTTAAAGTCAAACATATATCATCAAGGTAAAACGGGAAGTTACTTAGAAATAAGAACTAAAACAAATTCAAGTATCACAATTTCATCACAATCTAATGACATAACTATACAATATTTATAACTATGTTAACGAATTATTTAAAAAAAGAAAACATATAACATAAATCTAAAACAGTTAACCATAATCCAATGTTAATCAATCTATGTCTAAATTAAATAATTCATGACAAAAAATATATATACAAATAAAGAACGACATACAAACAAAATAAAATTAATAAAAAAACAAAGACATATACATACAAACAAACAAAAAAAATTAATAAACAAACAAAACTATACAAACAAAACAAAATTAATAAAAAAAATACATATACAAACAAAACATACGTAATAAAAAAAATATTTACCAACAAAATCAACTTAATAATAAAAAAGAAAAAAAAAAGGTATATCGACAATAAACTTATGGTCACGGCGGCGGCAAGAACTAAAGCTCCGATGGAGGAGGAGGCGGCTGCAATGGAGGAGGCGACGGGTGAAAGGTTAGATGACGGGAGTCTGGTCGGCGACGATGGAGGAGGAGGGGACCACGGGAAGAAAGAAAAGATGAAAGTGAAGTGGGGGAAGGCCACTAGTGGGGACAATTTGTCCCCCACCAAAACCCTAGCAAGTCACAATCGTTGTTAGAAGGTGGTAGCGACTTCTTTCTGAGACGTGGCTACACGTGGAGCCACGTCAAAGTGAAGTCACAGTCATGGACCGTGATTTCACACTAAATCATAGGTGACGGCCACGATTTCGCTGAAATCGTAGCCAAATACTGCGATTTATCTACCCTACTTTTGAAATAAATTTGAATCCTACCCTACCTTTGCTTTTGGGCGTAGGTTGTTGGTTGTATAATAAATTTTGTATAAAAATAAAAAATAAAATTAGATCACCTGATTTTTGAATCATTTATTGATTATGCAATTGTATAATTTTTTTTTCATACTTATTATTTTCTTTAATTATACTGATTTTTATTCATCGGCTCTCCATATTAGCGAGTGAATATTTGAAAATTTGTAATCATTTATTGATTCTTTCCATTAAACATATTAATTATCATTTTAATTATTTTTAATTTTAACATGTAGGGGGATTTGAACCCGACATCTTGGTTGGAGATATATATCTTACCTAGTTCAATGACTTTAATTATTATTTTTTTACACTCTTATTAGAAAATTTGAATATTTTTAACATTTTAAATCATTAATTTAATTAAAATAAAATTCCTAGTGTTTTTTTTAGATTCTTTTGATTACTTTTTACGTAATATAAATCAAGCTTACTAGCTTACTTATTTTTATGAGGTTAAATATATCAAATGGTCCATAATCTTTTAGATTTTTATAAATTTCTTCCTAAAATCTTTTAAAATTCTCAACTTTTCCCTTAATAGACTAAAATTTCTCAATTAAATAAGTCTTCCTTAAAAAAATGTTAAAACTTGTTAATAGAAATTTCATGTGCCATTAAATTAATATTTCGGTAACATATTTGGACACATGAACGTGTCATTTGGACATACCACTAGAAAGAAAAGCACTTTGTTGATGAACGGGTCGAATTTTGTAACTGGACAAATAGGATTTCATGGTGTCAAATATAATAGTATCTAAGTAGTATATTAATGTGTCCAAATATGTTAATAAGACAATTATTTGATGATACATCAACTTTTTGTTAAAAAAAAAAAATAATTTATTT